GGGGGGCAGGGCTGGGCTGGCAGGGGCTGCGGGTCGGGACTGAGGGGCACGGTGGGGGGGCAGGGCTGGGCTGGCAGGGGCTGCGGGTCGGGAGTGAGGGGCACGGGGGGGGGGGCAGGGCTGGGTCTCTCTGCACCAGACTCATTTCTCAGCACTTGGACTTTATTCCGTGTGAACCGAGTTGCTCCAGGAAGCGTCAAAATAAAAAATAGTTCAATGGTGCAAAAGTAAAAAATCACGCGCTTGGCTGGGGGAGGGGCGTTGGCCTAGAACCCCAGGCCCCATGTCCCACCCCCGACCCACCAGGACTCCTGGGTTCTCTCCCCTGCCCTGGGAGGGGATGGGGTCCAGTAATTAGAGCAGGGTGGGGGGAAGGGGGAGTCGGGGCCCCTCGTGCCTCAGTTTCCCCCTTTGGGAGTGGCTTCGGAGTGGCTGGCAGGAGGCCAGGGGGCTTTGCCAGGAGGAAGTGGATCAATCGCAGAGCTGGGTGGGGAACCCTGGCCCCGCCCACCCGCAGGGTTATAAGGCGACCGACATCCCTTGGGCCCCTCCATCCCTGGGGCCAGCGACACCCTCCCAGACCATGGGCCCCGGCCGCGCCCTCCCCTGGGTGCTCCTCCTGGCACTGGCCAGTGCCTTCCGCCCCAACCCCGAGTCGGGGGGCCTGGCTCCTGGCGACTTCACCGACGCCGACATCACTGAGCTGGGCGCCCTGCGGGCTGTGGCCTGGTTCCTGGAGAGGAACCCGCCCGCCGGGAAGCCCCCCATGGCCCCCGGGACGCTGGAGAACATGGAGCCGCTCACGGCCAGCGGGCTCTTCAAGGCCTATTTCCAAGGTGGGGAGAGAACCCAGGCGTCCGGGCTCCCAGACCCCCTGCTCTAACCCACCAGCCCCCACTCCCCTCCCAAAGCCAGGAGAGAACCCAGGAGTCCTGGCTCCCAGCGCTCCCCCCCGCTCTAACCCCTCAGCCCCCACTCCCCTCCCAGAGCCAGGAGAGAACCCAGGAGTCCTGGCTCCCAGCCCGCCTGCTTTAACCACCAGCCCCCACTCCCCTCCCAGAGCCAGGAGAGAACCCAGGAGTCCTGGCTCCCAGCCCCCCTGTTTTACCCACCAGCCCCACTCCCCTCCCAGAGCTGGGGAGAGAACCCAGGAGTCCTGGCTCCCAGCCCCGCCCCCGCTCTAACCCCCCAGCCACGCTCCCCTCCCAGAGCCAGGAGAGAACCCAGGAGTCCGGGCTCCCCCCCGCACTGACTGTCTCTCGCAGCCGAGGTCTCCGCCGGGCGCCTGGCCGAGGCGATCCAGGAAATCATCACTGGGAACAACCAGGTGGAGATTTTCCACCTGGACGACAGCAGCTACCACTTCCACTGCGAGGAGATCGCCCGAGGTGGGGCCGGGGGGCCTGGGGGATCGGGGGGGCCGCGCCGGGGGGATCGTGGGAGGCCCCGGGCCGGGGGGGCCAGGGAGAGTCGGGGGCGCCGGGCCGGGAGGGGCTGGGGGGATCTGGGAGGATCTGGGGGGCCGGGAGGGGCTGGGGGGATCTGGGGGGGCCGGGCCGGGGGACCGGGGGGATCTGGGGGTCCCGGGCCGGGGGGCTGGGAGGATTGGGGGGTGCTGCACTTCATGGAGCTGGGCAGGGGGGTGGGGGGGGTCTGGGCTGCAGGCGGGGGGCTCGGGGGCGGTACAGGTTACAGGAGCCGGGCAGGGGGCTCGGGGGCACCCGGCTGCAGGAGGGAGGTTTGGGGAGCTCGGGGGGGGCACCCGGCTGCAGGAGGGAGGTTTGGGGAGCTCGGGGGGGGCACCCGGCTGCAGGAGGGAGGTTTGGGGAGCTCGGGGGGGCACCCGGCTGCAGGAGGGAGGTTTGGGGAGCTCGGGGGGGCACCCGGCTGCAGGTGGCGGGTTCAGGGGGGTTGGGGGACACCAGGCTGCAGGCAAGGGACTCGGGGGGTTCGGGGAGCTCACGGGATTCGGGGGGCACGCGGCTGCAGGCGAGGGCTTGGGGGGCTCGGGGGGTTCAGGGGGTCCGGGGACACCCACCTGCAGGACCCGGCGTGGTTCACACAGGCCCCCGCGCTGGCTTTGCAGGGTCGCCCCGGCTGCGGGCGGGGGGTCGGGGTTTCGGGGGGTCGGGGGGGGTCAGGCGTTTGGAGGTTCAGGGGATTGGGGTTTCGGGGGGCTCGGGGAGCTCACACAGGCCCTGCACTGGCTTTGCAGGGGCGACCCGGCTGCAGGCGGGGGGTCGGGGTTTCGGGGGGTCGGGAGGTTGGGGGTTCAGGGGGTTCAGGTTTCGGGGGGTTTGGGGGTTCAGGGGGTCGGAGTTTCGGGGGGTTGGGGTTTGGGGGGTCGGGGGGTTGGGGCTGCAGGAGGGAG